TAACCTCCACTTGTGCAGACTGACCTGTTCCTTTCTCTGGAACGTATTTTCACTTTGTGTAGCTTCCTTCTTTTCTACCATCTTGTACCCTTCTTCTCTCTTTCTTCTTTTCTACAATGACAGTGGTTTGTGTGGAATTCCTTTCTGCCTGTGTTCACTCCATGGCACGAGCCCTGCTTGTGATTCTTCCAAGGAAGGAACCAAAGAAATAGGACATTTCTCTTTCAAAACCCAGCCCTGACAGAGACTCCAAGGGTTTTAGGAGCTGTGTGCCAGAAAACCTGGACAAAACCAAAATATATATTTCTTATTATATCACAACAACATAGCATATCTTTAGCAGGAGGTTCCCATGCCTCCTGCAGCCCCTAGGTCCTTGGGGAACAAAGCCTTTCCCAAGAGTTGTTAGGAACTCAGGATAGGTGACTTTCCAGCACTGTGGCTAAACTGCTCTCGTCCTGGCAACCTCAGGTCCTCTCTGCCAGTGACCTCCTTCCCTGGAAGGGCAAAACCATGCAGGGATCCCCTTCATCTCCTTTCCAGACCCTTGCCCAGTGGAAGAGATTTTCTATCAGTTCCTGTGTAACAACCCCAAATACAGTGCTGTAAAACAACAATGCTCATTTATCATCATTATCTCTCATGGTCCTAAGTGCTGTCTGGGTTCAGCAGGATGGTTTTCCCTCCAGGTCTGTCACACAGTTAAAGTCATACAGTGGCTGGGGCCAAAGTCACCTCAGAGGCTTCCTCACTTCCTTGCTGGTTGTTGGTAGGGACCTCAGCTAGAACTATCAGTCAGAACAGAACAGAGTGGCTTCTCCAATTGTCTTGGGCTTCCTTACAGCGTGGCGTCTGGCTTCCACTGGCAAACTCTGAGAGACAGACCCAGAAAACATTTGTATCACCTCTCATGACCTAGGCTCAAATATTGCAATGTCTCGGGCCCACTAGACTCTGTTGATTTCATTAGGCACAAAGATCCACCTGGGTTGAAGGGAAGGTGATTTAGAAGCCATTTCTTGATGGGGGAAGCCAAGGGTGCACTATAAGAAAAGCACGTGGTAAGGCCGGGTGCGGTGGCTCACACCTGTAATCCTAGCTCTCTGGGAGGCCGAGGCGGGCGGATTGTTTGAGCTCAGGAGTTCGAAACCAGCCTGAGCAAGAGCGAGACCCCGTCTCTACTAAAAATAGAAAGAAATTAATCAGACAACTAAAAATATATAGAAAAAATTAGCCGGGCATGGTGGTGCATGCCTGTAGTCCCAGCTACTCGGGAGGCTGAGGCAGGAGGATGGCTTGAGCCCAGGAGTTTGAGGTTGCTGTGAGCTAGGCTGATGCCACGGCACTCACTCTAGCCCAGGCAAAAGAGTGAGACTTTGTCTCAAAAAAAAAAAAAGAAAAGAAAAGAAAAGAAAAGCACGTGGTATATGAGACATTGTTATGGCCATCGCTGAAAATTACAATACGATCTACCCTGAGCATCTTTTATCGAATATTGAGAATATACAAAATAATATTATTTTAAAATATATGTACACTCCACCTATATAAGAAGAAAATTATTACCAGTATCCTTGAAGACCCCTAAGCTTATCCTCTGCTAAGATAACCAACTTCTAGAATCTTGTTCTATAATTCCCATAAGTTTATATCTGTAAATGATATATTATTTGTTTTGCCAGCTTTGCCCTTCATACAAATGGACTCATAATGATGATAGTCTCCTATAACTTGCTTTTTTCACTCAACAGTGTGACACTGGGAATTAATCGTATTGTGTGTAGTTGGGGTTCATTCATTCTCACTTCCACGTAGTGAATGCCTGGTGATGGGAAATGTGGATATTTCCAGTTTGGAGGCTATCATATTAAGTGCTTCTGGAACACTCATGTACGTTTCTCCCAGGGCAAGAGTTTCTCTGGGGCACATACATTGGAATGGAATTATCAGTATGTGCCCAGTTGTTTTCTAAAGTGGTTATACCAATCCACACTTGTAACAACAGGAGCATTCTGTTGCTCTCTGCATCCTTACCACCACTGGACATTGTCACAGGTTTTTTCTTTTTTTTTTTTACAGACAAGGTCTCATTCCGTTGCTCAGGTTGGAGTGCAGTGGTGTGATCATAGCTCGCTGCAGCCTCCAACTCCTGGGCTCAAGTGATCCTCCCATCTCAGCCTCCCAGAGTAGCTGGGACTATAGGTACGTGCCACCACACTTGGCGAATTATTTTTTTGTAGAGATGGGGTCTCACTATGTTGCCCAGGCTGGTCTCAAACTCCTGGCTCAAGCGATCCTCCTACCTTGGCCTCCCAAAGTGCTGGGATTACAGGTGTGAGCCACTGAACCTAATCAGTCTCAGTTCTTTAGATAGGTCAGAAACACAGCAATGATGTATCATTTATCCCTGTTGGGAGCATCCCGATAAATAAATGTATCCATATTCTAGTTATTGAAAAAAGATGTAACCTTCTCCAGGCAGCCTCCTGAGACCTCCATCCTCCAAGCTGGTTTTGGTGCTCTCTTTGTGTTTTCTTCTCCTTTCATATCATTGCTACTACCTCAGTAGAGCTGTGGTTTATGCACATTTAAGATACGTATATTCTACTAAACACGTAAAACATATAGAAGGACATTGCAGCTCCTGAAAAGGAGTCGACCTGCCAGTACATTTGCCAGCGGGTGGTAGGGACAAGCGTGAGGGACTGAGAAGGGTGCATGTCCCATCCCTCAACTGCCATTTGTATCTCACTGCATGAACATCTTGCTTCCCAAAGTGAAATTTGAGGCTCATAGGTGGGTTTTTTGGGTACACCATAGTGCCATGGTTTGAATGTCTGTCCCCTCCAAAACACATGTTGAAATTTGATTGCCATCGTAACAGGAAGGGCACTAATTCCATTCATGAGGGCGCCACCCTCATAACCTAATCACCTCCCCAAAGCCCCACCTCTTAATATCATCCCCTTGGGGTTTAGGATTTCAACATGAAACCGCCCTTTATAAAATTAATAAAAGGCTGCAAGATGGGAACTGTGGTAGGGGCCTGAACTCCGCAAAGCTATAGGCATAGTCCAAAAAAAAAAAAAAAACAAAAAAAACCCCAGCCATTGTTCCCTAGCTTGCCTTCCTGTATTCACTTACTGCTTAAGAGTCACGTATCCTCGACTGGTCTACGATTTGTGAATTCCCCAATCGCTTCTATAGATTGCTGTTATAAAATCTAAGACTGGTCTTTGAGATACCTTCCAGACTCTGCATTTGGGAAAACCAACAGCTGCCAAACGGACCAATGGGCATATGTGGGAACTGACTCCACAGGTCTGGCAACCCTCTACCCCAGAATTGTCTCAGCCAAGAAGGCAATTCCTGCTTCCCAGTCCTATGAGTTCATCTCCAGTCCTCCCCTCCCCTCCCCTCCCTCCCTCCCTTTCTTCCTTCCTGCCTTCCTTCCTTCCTTCCTTCCCCCCCTCTCTCTCTTTCTTTTCTTTTTTTTTTTTTGAGACAGGGTCTCACTCTGTCGCCCAAGTTGGAATACAGTGGTGCCATCATAGCTCACCGCAGCCTCCAACTCCTGGGCTCAAGCGATCCTCCTGCCTCAGCCTCCCGAGTAGCTGGGACTACAGGTGTTGGCCACCACAACCAACTAATTTTTACATTTTTTGTAGAGGAGGGGTCTCGCTCTTGCTCAGGCTCCTCAGTGTTTTCTGTCCCTATGTCACTGCCTGTCTCCCCTGGAATAAACGCACTCAATCCTCATCTTGAACTCTGCTTCTGGGAGACCCCAATCTCTGTCCCTGCCCTTGCCCAGCCCAGCCTGGTGCCTCGGCCACTCCCAAGCTGAGCAGATACCAGTCTTAGAACGTTCTACCCTCTACCTCTTTTTGCTTCACAACAGCCCTTCGAGGGAAAGGGCTCTATGTCGTCGTCCCCGTTTTACATGTGGGAAGGCTGAGATTTGGGCAGGAAGGGGACTTGGCTGAAGTCGCCCCCTTGGTAAGTGGTGGGACGAGGGGATTTGACCTTGGGCGGAGACTGGCTTCCTCACCACCTCCCCACCGCACCCCCCACTCCCATGTTGAGGCTTCATCTGCACCCCCTCATTCAATCCTTACACCACCACTGTGGACTGAGACAATCACGATCCCACTTTACAGAGAGGGAAACTGAGGCCCAGAGAGGTGGCAGAGCCCAGGTTTAGACCCAGGCAGGCTGGCACCGAGCTCACACCCTTAAACACTGGCTGGTGCCTGGATACATGTCATTTCCTTTCGAGCGGCTGTGGCCATTTGGGGAGGGGGGTGTCTGGCTGCCAGCGGGCCGGGCAGGCAGAGGGGAGGAGGGGCTCAGGCCAGAGACCTGGTCCAAAGCTCACCTACCCCAAGCTCCCCTCCTGACCCCTCACTGTCCGCCCCAGCTCCTCCTTGGGGACGCCCTTGTGCCCCAAAACCTCCCCCACACCTCCTTCCACACCCCTACTCCTGCGGTCAGCCCAAATACCAGACAGGGCGAATCTCAGCTTTTCCCCAAACATTCCTTGTTCCTGTGGCCCGGCCCAGGCTGGCTGAGGTTACGAAAGCAGAGCTGGGGTGGTTGTTGGGGGGGGGACCGACCGGGCTGGCCTGTCCTCACCACCCCATCCGGCCGCCTGCCCGCCCTCCCCAGGGCGGAGAAGGGGGTGGGCCAGCGTCCCCTGAGTCCTCGGGAGAACAGGCTGTGTGTGCGGGGGGTGGCCTGGGCTGAGAGATGGGGGGCGGTGGCGGCCACGGCAGAGGCTCCAGGAGGTGACCGCCTGGTTTCCATTAGGGAGCCCTGGTCGGCAGCTCGGGCGAGACGGCAGAGTCGGGCCGGCTATGGTAAGGTGGGGCAGGGGAGGGTCTGAGGGTGGGGCCTGCCTGCCCCCCACCCCAGCTCTGCCAACTGGCTATTGCCACCCTTGCCTGCCCTGCCACCCGTCTGCCACCCAGCCCCTCCCTGGAGGAGGGGATGCTGCAGTCGCCATGGCGACCCTGTGCCTAGCCTGGGGACGCGCTGACCCCTCCCTCCCCTCCCAGCGGCTAAGCCTGCTGCTGCTTCTGCTGTGGCCAGGCCCCCTGGCCACCCCCGGCATGGAGGATGCCGCCTTCCCCCACCTGGGGGAGAGCTCGCAGCCCCCGCCCCGGGCCTGCCCCCCGCGCTGCTCCTGTCCCCGGGCGGACACCGTGGACTGCAATGGCTTGGACCTTCAGGTGTTCCCAGACAACATCACCAGGGCTGCGCAACACCTCTCCCTGCAGGTGGATCCAGGGAGGCGACAGGAGGGCGGGGACCAGGGGGGGTGAGACCCAGAGGCCAGAGGTGCAGGCGGGCCGTGCATGGAGCCTACCTGTGAGAGGGGGCGAGGAGGTGGCAGAGCTGGAGGTTGGCCTTGACCGTGTGCCAGGGGACAGAGGGGGTGGGGGCTGAGAGTTAGGCGGTGTTGGGGTCACCATCTTGGCAGTTACGGGGTTGTTTGGGGTCGCGTGATGAGGAGTTTGGGGTTGATTATGGGGGCATGGGGCCAACGTCTTGGCAGCGAGGGGATGTTTGGGTGGGGTTGATTGTGGGGTGATGGGGTGTTGGGACCAAGGTCTTGGTGGTTATGGGGTTTGGGTCAGCATGGGTTGATGGGGCATTTGGGGTCGACCGTGTTCGGGTGTTGCAGCATTTGGGGTTGATTGTGGGGGTGTCGGGGTCAAGGTCTTGGCAGTTACAGGGCTGCTTGGGGACAGGGTGATGGGGTGTGGGGCTTGTCTGGGCTGATGGGGAGTTGAGAAGTAGGGCTTGGGGTCGCTTGGCAGCGAACGGTCCCAGGGTCAGGGCTGTGACCGTCCCGACCCCCATCCCACAGAACAACCAGCTACAGGAGCTGCCCTACAACGAGCTGTCGCGCCTCAGCCGCCTGCGGACCCTCAACCTGCACAACAACCTCATCTCCTCCGAGGGTGGGGGCGCAGCCGCCGGCCCCTCCCCCGCCCGGGCTGCGGGCAGCTCTGTGGCAGTTCCCGGAACTGCCCTTTGCTGAGCAGGACGGAAACTCAGGGGTGGGGGGGCTGGAGGGGCGATGTGGCTTTCGAGTAGGGGTGGCGGGAGGGGGACTTGAGAGCTCCGGGAGCCTCTGCCAGTTCCCGGCCCGGGGCCCTGGGGCAGCTGGGAGCCCAGCCCCCGCCACCACCGCCAGCAAGGCCAGGCCTGGGGTCCCCTCACCACCCCGCACGCCCCCCGCAGGCCTGCCCGATGAAGCCTTCGAGTCCCTCACGCAGCTGCAGCACATCTACGTGGCGCACAACAGGGTGAGCCCCCAGCTCCACCGAGGCGCCGCCCGGCCAGGGAGCAGCCCAGGGGAGAGCCCGGGACGGGACGCACGGGGACCAGCGCGCTATGGGCTGTGCTCCCGCAGCTCTCCGTCGCCCCGCAGTTCCTGCCCCGCTCCCTCCGCGTGGCCGATCTGGCTGCCAACCAAGTGATGGAGATCTTCCCCCTGACCTTCGGCGAGAAGCCGGCGCTCAGGTAGCCCCTGGCCCCGCTTGGCCCCGCCGCCCACCCTCAGGTGTGGCAAGGGTCACTGTCCATTCTGAGGGGCTGGGGGGGGCGGCTAAGTCCTTTCCCTGGGGGCGTGTAAGGGGGCAGAGCTCTACCCTGGGGTCCGACGGGGGAGACAGGCCCGCTACGCTGTGTCCGGAGAACTGCAGGCTGCCGGCGGGCGCATGCGGGCACACACGCGCGCACACATTCACACGCACACGCACACACATTCACACGCACACACACATTCACGCGCACACACACACATCCATACTAACACGCTCACATGCACACACACATTCGCACACCCAGACTCACACGCATGCACACTCACATGCACACAATCATGCACACGTGTTCGCTCACAATCACTCTTGAGCGCGCACTCACAGGCTTGCATGCACGCACACAATTACACATACGTGCTCGCGCACACGCAGTCGCACGCTTACGCACTCACACGCTGAAGGTGGCCCGGAACGGGTTTGGGGCGGGAGTGGGGGGCTGCAGGGAGGTGGGGGGCAGGCCGGTGGCCGGAGCCTGGCTCCCCTCAGGTCCGTGTACCTCCACAACAACCAGCTGAACAACGCTGGGCTGCCGCCCGACGCCTTCCGCGGCTCCGAGGCCATTGCCACCCTCAGTCTCTCGAGCAACCGGCTCAGCTACCTGCCGCCCAGCCTGCCGCCCTCGCTCGAGCGGCTCCACCTGCAGGTGCCCGTCCTTCTCCTCCCTGCCCTGCGTCCCCGCCGGGGCTCAGGCCCCCTTCACCTCTGCCCTGGGGCACCCCTCACTTTCCATTCTCCCAAATGTCCCCCAAAACCCCAGCAGTCAGAATGGCCTTTCTCTGAATCCCTTCCACTGATGTGGGTTGTTTGCAACACTCGCTGAGCAGCCTTGCTCAAGGCCGGCTCCCTGTCACTCCCTTACTCAAGAACCTTCGATGGCTCCCCTCTGTCCTCTCTCCCAGACCCTCTGGCTCATCCTCTTCTCCCTTCTCCAGAACAATCTCATCTCCAAGGTGCCCCGAGGAGCCCTGAGCCGCCAGACCCAACTCCGTGAGCTCTACCTCCAGCACAACCAGCTGACAGACAATGGCTTGGACGCCACAACCTTCAGGTGCCACCTCGTGGGGGCAGAGGAGCCCGAGTATTATAGTCTGGGGGGGTCCTGGGGGGGTCCCAACCTTCTGTGCCCCTCCCCTGTATGGCCTCCTGCACATCGAGCAGGTGTCCCTGTTCCCAACTGCCCTGCACCGAGGTTTCATTAGCTGACTTCACACGCATTTCTCTCGGACCCAGGACTCTCTCCTGGGCACTTCCGGAACTCTCAGGCTGGAATCTGCCCCGACCAGCCCGAATTTCCCTCCCACCCAGATCCCTCAACTCATGACCCTCAGGTTGAAATCTCCAGCTTAAGTCTGAGGACCCCTCCGCATCATCGTCCCCTGCAAGATCGGTCAGGTCCCCGCTCTGAGTGCCTGGCCCGACGCCCACCCTCTGTCCCACCAGCAAGCTGCACAGCCTCGAGTACCTGGACCTGTCCCACAACCAGCTGGCCACAGTGCCCGCCGGCCTGCCCCGGACCCTGGCCGTCCTGCACCTGGGCCGAAACCGCATCCGACGGGTGGAGGCGGCTCGGCTGCGCGGGGTGCGGCGTCTGCGCTACCTGCTACTGCAGCACAACGAGCTGGGAAGCTCGGGGCTGCCCGCCGGGGCGCTGCGCCCACTGCGGGGCCTGCACACGCTGCACCTCTATGGCAATGGGCTGGACCGCGTGCCCCTGGCGCTGCCCCGCCGCCTGCACGCCCTGGTGCTGCCCCACAACCACGTGGCCGCGCTGGGCGCCCGCGACCTGACCTCTACGCCTGGGCTGGCGGAGCTCAACCTGGCCTATAACCGCCTGGCCAGCGCCCGTGTGCACCGCCGGGCCTTCCGCCGGTTGCGCAGCCTGCGTAGCCTCGACCTGGCTGGCAACCAGCTGACCCGGCTGCCCACGGGCCTGCCGACCGGCCTGCGTGCCCTGCGCCTGCAGCGCAACCAGCTGCGGGTGCTCGAGCCCGAGCCACTGGCCAGCCTGGACCAGCTGCGGGAGCTCAGCCTGGCACACAACCGGCTCCGGGTCGGTGACATTGGGCCCGGCACCTGGCATGAGCTGCAGGCCCTCCAGGTCAGGGACAGGCTGGTTAGCCACGCTGTCCCCACCCCTCTGCCGCCTGCCAAGTTCTTCCCCACACCAAGCCCCTGTCCCCACTGTGGGCCAGCCCTGGGGTAGCTGAGACAGACTCAGCCTCCAGGACTTTGGCTGTGTTGTCCTTGTCACCTGGTCCTATGCCTCCACCCCCTCCACCTCCCTAGGTAACATCTCGGCTTCTCGCAATTCCAGAGTTCTAGAAGCATCTGTGGGTGCCAGGCACTGCTCTAGGCAGTGGAGATGCAGCCACTGGGCACTGAACACCACAGCTCTTGACCCCCGCCCCCCAAAACATCCCAGTTAGGGAGCAAGGCCATCGATGGCCATGATAATTAGTAAATGACAGAGTGTTAGAAGGCGACGAAGGGTGTGGTGTGGAGGAAATACCACCTTCGTCAGTGACTCACTGAACTAGGCGGAGACCTGTCTGTCTGTCCCCAGTGCCTGGAACAGGGCCTGCCCCGGGAGGGCCTGCGAGGAGAGGGGCTGGGGGCTGCTGAGCCCGATGGCCCAGGGACCTGGGGCTGCCACGTAGCCGTCTCTGCCCTGCCCGCCCAGGTACTGGACCTCAGCCACAATGAGCTGTCCTTTGTGCCCCCGGACCTGCCCGAGGCCCTGGAGGAGCTGCACTTGGAGGGCAACCGCATCAGCCACGTGGGCCCCGAGGCCTTCCTCAGCACGCCCCGCCTGCGCGCCCTCTTCCTCAGGTGCAGGAAGGGGCTGCTGGGGAGATCGAGGTGGGCAGGGGAGGGCCCAGGTGGGTCAGGACGGTGGTGGCCCACTCCTGCCACCTGCCCATGACCGCTTCTCTGTCCAGGGCCAACAGGCTTCACATGACGAGCATCGCCGCCGAGGCCTTCCTGGGCCTCCCGCACCTGCGCGTGGTGGACACGGCAGGTAACCCCGAGCAGGTGCTGGTGCGGCTGCCGCCCGCCACCCCACGCGGGCCACGGGCAGGGGGCTCCTGAGCCTGGAGGGGCCCAGCAGAGCAGCCCTGAGCCCTGGGGCTCTGCTGGGCCACGGACTGAGGACACAGCACCCACCTATGGCCCCTTGCCCGGCTCTCCCAGGCCTCAAGGACTGGGCTTGCTCTGGTGGCCTGGGGGACGGGGGAGGGGCTGAAGCAAGCAGCTGGCACACTCCAGGTGCACAGACCACGGTGGCCCGGTGGGACACACCCTCCCACCCCCCATGCAGATGGAGACAGCGACAATAAAACCTAACACTTTGAGTGCTCACCACAGACCAGGCACCATTTGGGGGGCTCTGCCCACTGGCTCTTCCCTGCAACGCTGCAGTGGCAGCTCTCTCCCTCCCCAAGTCCAGCTGGGGAAACTGAGGCTCTGGGACACCAGATCCAGGCCCCTGGGCCAGTCAGCAACAGGTCTGGACTTTTAGGTCCCGAGACACACCAAGTACAACCACGCGTGACCCAGCCACATGTAAACCCAAGGCCAAGGCCACCTGCTGAAGAAACGTGGGTGACAGATGTATGGACCCTCCACAAGCACACTGTCCTGTCCCAGCCTGCTCCTCTGGAAGCACCTCCCCAACAACCCTCGGGGACACTGGGGGAGGGTGGGGAGACCCAGCCTGGCCACCAAGGGCCAGAGCAAGGAACAAAGACAAGACAGAGCTGAGCAGGGTGTGGCCCTGGCTGTTTATTCTGAGTGTTGGCCCTGGGGGCCCAGCTGGGCCAGGGCGACCCCCTGCCGGCCTCAGCGCTTCTTTGGGGTATAGGAGGGTTCAGGGTTAAGGCTGGGGAGGGACAGGAAGTAAAGTGCTCGCAGGGGCCCTTGGGGCTTGTCCCAGCCGCCCTCCCCTCTCTGGGGCAGGCCAGAGGCCACACATCCCTGGACTGTGCAAACAGGACTCTCTGGGCCCCCAGCCAGGCCTGGGTGAGGGGCTGGCCGGCATTGTCCTGACGCCCCCAGCCAGGGAGGCTCTGGCTGGGCTGGGGGCCCTGAGGGGACGAGTCCAGAACCGATTGTCCACTGATTGTCTACGTGTCCGGCGGGTGGCTGTGTCAGCCCTTCCCTGGGCTGTGGGTCTGCTACCGGCTCCTCCAGGGGCCGCCCGCCCCGTCGGCCGCTCACCTGCGGAGCCGCTGCAGCTGGGGGACAGGCCACTGGGGTCAGGGAGGGCCACGACCACAGCGACCCCACCCCCGCCTTCTGAGCCCCTCACCTCACTCTCCACCAGATTCCGCCTGTACAGCGCCTCCTTGGCAGCCTCCTGGGGGGACGGACAGTCAGTGGGAGATCCCTGCCGGCCCCACCCTGTGGTCACCTGGTGCCCACCCAGCCCGTGCCTGGCTCACCCTGCTGCCATCATTGCCCAGGCGCCGCGCGGCCTCCGTGTAGAACTGCAGCTGCCGCTCCAGCTGGGCTGCGTACTCTGAGGGGGCAGAGGCGGGGTCAGGGTGGGAGCAGGAAAGTGTGGGCATCCCGTCGGTTGGGGAGGGACTCGGGGCCCTCCCCCTCCCCCACCGTGCCTGTCCCCAAGCCCCTCCCTCACCAGACGCCCATGTCCAAGCCCCTACCCCGCCGGATGCCCGCGCCTCCCTGTTCCAGCTGTGCCCTCTGCCACTGGCTGCGTTGCACGATGTCCTGGTACTGCTGGGCCACTTCTGGGGGCACTGGCCGCCGTGCCTGCCTGAGGGCCAGGATCTAGAGGACACAGAGGAGGCTGTCAGGGCCCTGCCTGGGCCTGCAGACGCCCCTGTCCTGCCCCACCGAGCGCAGCGGGGCGGGCATTCACCTTCCGCTCCAGACGCTCCTGGTCGAAGGCCAGCACGCTGAGGCTGTGCAGGTTCCGGGCTGATCTAAGGGGTAGGGGAGGGATGAGGGGCTTCAGGGACTCTCCCTGCCCAACCCTGTTCATTCGACATGCTGGGCATGGGGCTGCAGCGCCAGACAAGCGGTGTTGCGGAGCCCACAGCCTAGTGTGGACGATGGCTACACACCCGGGCAACTCTGATGCCTAGTGGTCAGGGAGGGTTTCCTGGAGGAGGTGAGAGTCAAGTTGGGACCCAAAGGAGGAGTTAGAGTTGGTCAGAGGAGCAGGAAGCAAAGGTCGGGGTGGGACACTCAGGGCACTGGAACACAGAAGCCCAGAGGCTAGTGACAACTATGCACAGCCATGACCCACAGGAGGGAGAGAGTGGGGAGAGAGAAAGCTGGATATATTGGCAATGGTCAGATCACAAAAGGTCTTACAGATCAATCCAAGGAGTTTAAACTGGATCCTCCAGGAGAAGAGGTGCCAGGAAAGGTTTTGAAGCAGGAGAGGGACATTTGTGCCTGGTGGGAAACTGTCCAGGAGGGGCTGAGAGGGTAAGAGGGGGTTCCCTCCAGCATGGCCTGGCCCAGCCACCTACCTGTTCCCTGGCTCCCTTGCAGGGGCAGGCACAGGGGGGGCCTTCCCTTTGGGCCCAGCAACCTGCTTCAGAGGAGAGAGTAAGTCCTGTGAGTCCTGGGCCCCCTGAACCAAACCTCCCCCACTGGGGCTGCTGGTGGGCAGGGGTCTCACTGTGGGCACAGCTGCTGGCACGGGGTCGATGACTAGCCACCTCTCTGTCGTCGTCTCCAACTGCTGAGCTGTCAGCGGTTCCCGAATCCGGACCATCACCTCCAGCCGCCCCCCTGTGGGCCGGCGACCGTCCAGGACCTGGGTGGGGGTGAGAAGACGCTGCAGGTGGGAAGCAGGAGGTGGCTGTAGGCCCAGGGACAGGGACAGGGACAGGGAGACCCAGGGTGATTTCCAAAGTATGAGCCCACAGGTATGGCTGGGACAGCACCTGACCCTAACGGAGCAGGGTGCGGGAGTACTTAGCGCTGGGCTGTAGGGCTGTCTGGGACCCTGAGGGAGGGGCTGAGTCAGCAGAGGGGCCCTTGGGGACTCGAGGCAGCATTTGAACAACACTAACGCGAGGCATGGCCACGCCGGCACGTGCGGATGAATGTCCCCCCTCACCTCAAGGATCTCGCGGACCTCGCACGCCGTCTCCAGGGCGTCCAGCTTCAGCTGTGCTGTCCCCAGCACCCGGTCGGTCTTGAACAGCCCCCTGTGTGTATGGGTGTGTGGCGAGGGGACAGGATGGCTGGTCCAGGACAGCTCCCCTTCCTGGAGCCCACCCAGCACCTGTGGCCCCGGCTCACCCCTTGTGGACCACTTCGAACTTGATGCCTTTGGTCTGGATGGCCCGTCGGAAGCCGCGGTGGCTGCGGTTGATGCAGAGTTTGAACTGCTCCTTGAACTCTATGGGGGGAAGGAGGGAGACGGGAGAGGAAGTTGGGTGGGATCAGACCATGGTCGCCTGTTCCTTCTCCTCCGGGGTGGGGGCTCACCAGGGGAGTCTGTGTTCTTGATCACGCTGGTCTTGTCTTTCTGAGCTTCTTCCTGTGAGCAGAGGGGAGGCAGGAACTCTCAGGGGCCCGGGGCCTGGCCTTGAACCCCTTCTGTCTGACTCACCTCCTCGCCCACCAGTACTCCAGTCCTCTCCTCCCCAGCTCCCCACGTACCACATTGGGATAGGGGAAGTCGAACCGAACAAAAACATCCAGGTCGCCAGGGGACAGCCCTGTGGGCAAGAGAGGGTCAGAGCTGGGCAGAGAGTGGTCCCCGTGACCCTGACCCCAGCCTGCAGCCCCCTCACCTGGGGGCGTGGGCAAGTTGATGCCCTTCACGATGAATAGGAGCATGTCGTTGCTGCTGAGGTCAGGGAAGATCCTTCCGTGCAGGCGGGTGGGCAGGGAAACAGAGGCACTTCAGCCCCACTGCCCGCCTGCCTTCTCTTCCCTCAGTTGGGGCAGGGCACAGACCCCACCCTGGTCTTTGGGGATGTCCCTGCTCCTGGGCCCGAGTTTTATAATCAGACAGACTAGAGTTCTCTGTAAAGGTCTGCCATTGGGTCCTTTCTTTAATCTGCACATATTCATTTGGTACCTACTATGCGCCAGCCACTGGCCTCACTGCTGGGGGACCTTCCCTTCGTTGAACAATATTTCTTGAGCACCTACTGTGTGCTGGCCAGTACCCTAGCAGCTGCAGGACCATCCCTTTGCTCAGTATTTCTTGAGTACCTACTGTGTGACAGCCAGTGGCCTTGCCGTTGGGGGATTTTCCCTTCATCTGACAATATTTCTTGAGCACCTACTATGTGCCAGGCAGTACCCTAGCTGCTGGGGGACCACCACTTCACTTTCTAGTTCTTAAGTGCTACTAAGCACCAGATAGTGTCCTTGCTGCTGAGGGAACTTCCTTTCATTTAACGACACTTCTTGAGCACCTACTATGTACCAGTCTTGCCACTGTGGATGTAGGAGTAAATGAGACAGCCCAGGTCCCTGCGCTCAGTCTAGCTGAGCCGGCCGATGACCACAGATACGCGAAGGGAGAAAAACAGAGCAACTTTGCAGAGAATTCAAACAGGGGAGAGAACACAACATGCTCAGAGGGGCTGCTTTAGATGGGGTGGCCAGGGAGGGCCTCTCAAAGGGGAGGTGACATTGTAGGTGACTCTGAATGTCCAGAAGGAGTTGCTATGTGCTGGGTGGGGACATACTTGGTACGTATGAAGGACAGAAAGGGGTTTTGTGTAGCAGGAGCTGAGCAGAGTAGGGACAGTGGGCGGAGGTGCGGTGAGAGGGAGCCGGGCTGTGCGGACGTGGGGGAGCTGGGGCAAGGGCGCGGGTTACCCAGGGGCGGCTGCACCTAACCTCATCTAGACAGTGGAGAAGGTGATCTCCACTCCTCAGGGCGTAGAAAAACTTAATAGGAGCAAGACCAACAACCACCAAAACTGTAACATGTCTCTAGGCTCCCTCATCCCCAAAAGTGTTTCCAAACGTGTCACTGTTACTGCCACCTTCACCATCCTTCACTCGCACCTCATGCCTGCCCCAGGGCCTTTGCACATTCTGTTCTCCCACCACCCACCCAAACTTTGCTCCGGAGGCAAGACCTG